TTGTCTGTGACAAAAGGAGATACTGGGAAAATTCGCGACGTCCAATATTATACTCATTTAGCTAGATTCTGGCAAGAAAAGCTGAAATGATGGTTCTTTTTTTAATAAAATATATGCTGTTACTTTGTAACTATGCCCCATTAAATTTAGTAAATAAATCTGTTAAATAGGTAAAAAAATCTGGTTTCCCCTTCATTACATTTTCTTTTAGAATAAAAGTCACGATCTGGTTTAATGAGAGCCAATATCACGTAAATCCCCATTTACCCCTCATGGATTTCTAAATTATTTTTTCACAACGTGGACCCCTTGCAGGTCGTGATAGACCCCTGGGGGTTCATATAGACCATTTTGGAATCACTGGGTGGCCGCGGTAGCCGAGTGGTATAGGTACGGACCGTGGCTTACTTTGTCATGAGTTCGAGCCCAGTACCATTAAAGACCCGCCGTGTAGGGCAGCGATGCACGTTAAATCTATCGAGAGCTGAAACGTCCTCCCGTGGTGTGGTGTGGTGTGGTAGTTAGGAGAGGAGGTGCCAGCTCAGGTGTCGTCCACGTCACTTGACCATGGTTCAAAATTACGTGGTCCGTCACCAAAAGCCCTCGTGTCGCTGAACAGTGCGACGTTTATTCAATCAATCAATCATTGGGAATCACGTATACGTGTTTCCTAGAGAATAATCCCCCTCTTTATAAGAGAGTTCTGTACACGTTAGTAGACAAAACTCATAATTTTGAACTAAGTTCAAGTAGCAAAAACATCGGAGCACGTACCCAAATTTCCGAACTACCATGCCACACGAGAGTTTAGTGACCAAAATTAAACTGCCCATGCAGTAAGTATATATATAATCCTGCTTGTGTAGAATTCCCTCACGTAGTAATTCTGAACGGCACGACATCCTTTGATGCAACTGCAAGATCTGAAGCCTTAATTTTACTCTGACATCGTTGACTGTGAGATCGCGACTACTTATAAACTTGGCAATGTGCTTATACAAAGTTACTTTAAATTCCAAATAATTTCTTTCAGATATTCCCTTTGCGATTTTAATAACAATGATAAGTAATAGCGTTGATTGCGAATACGATATTTTTCAAAGGGAAATTCGTTTATATATATATTTGCGTCTGGAGAATTTCTGTTCTTATCATGAAAGCTTATTTACTACTGGAGAGTTTCCGAGCCTATTGGAAGAAATATCCGTAAGATAAAACAAATTTCCGACTTTTCTTTCCGTTTCTGACGCAATATATTTATTTATGATAATAATTTGAGCCAATCTGTCTGACCTCAAGAGAGACAAAATATTTGTAGGAGAATTGCACGGAAAATTTTTGGCTTCAATATTGACATTTTTCAACAATTATAGAAATTGGAGTGGGTTCGCTATGGGGAAAAGGGGATTACACCGTATTTCAACCTTCAGGAAGGTGGTTCCGTAATGGTTATCCATGGTTCTGAGGTTGATTAAAATATCCACAAAAATACAGTAATCTGTGTACTTAATCGTTATAGGAAAATATTTAATATATTCTAATTGTAATTTTCATACATTTTTTAATTTCTTAAAAAAATTCCCAATTTGATCAATTAGGGTGACTCATTTTTAATCTATTGAGAGCTAATCAGAAATAATGTTTGTTTTTACCTAGCAGTTATTGATTGTTTATTCGCCCTCAGAAAAGTTTACTCACTTTATCACACAAAAGCAATTGTAGACAGTGATTTCTGTTGCCTAGTGGTCCTGGTCACGTACTCGGCGAGTCACGAGTTCATGCCTGGCAACACTGAAGACCCGCCGTGTGGAAGGGCTGATGTACGTTAAATCTGTCGAGCTCGAATCCTCCTGTTGCTGTGGTGTGGAAGCTCAGAGAGAGAGGATGCCGGGTCAGGGATCGTCCTCGTCACTTGATTCAGGTTGAAAATTACTGCATCCGTCGTTAATAGCCTTCGGTTTGCTTTAGAATGGGACTTTAATAAACATTTACTCTCTCTTGATCCCAACTGAAGCCCAGTGGCTGAGTGAAAATGTACCGCGCTTTTAGTCCACAAGTCCAGGGCTTAAGTCCCGGGCTGGGCAAGGTCGATTCCATCCTTCATCTCTTCAGTGGGTCCATAAATGAATACCAAGCTTGCTGGGAACTGAACACTGGGGTTTCGCGTCAGAATAACCACTTGACCGAAACATCTGCACATGTACCCCAGCACCTAAGGTCACGTAAACTGAGATAGGTACAGTAGGCCTTTGCCCTCATGGGCTGTTGGGACACTGAGTTCAGTTCAGTTGATCCCAATTACATAGTCATGGTAGTCGAATGGTCATGAGGACTAACGTGTCGGTTAATGTGATAGGAGAATTGAGAGCAATTTCAAGTGCCGTCCTCGTCACTTGATAGCAGTTAAAAAATAAGGAGATTCTTCACCTATTGCCTTCTTGTTGCTTCGAAATGCAATGTTTTTACGTTTTCCGCATTGAAGCTGCAAAACTACCCTCCCTATATAGATAGGATTACGTAGTTCACACCCATAAATGCACCCCTAAAATATTGAGGGGTCCTTTCATCTGACATCGCACCGACAACCGATGGCCGTGAGAATGCAACACTTCCTGCGATCCGGAACTCCGAGTATAACTCTAGGTGTTCGAAGCGACCGTCCCCACCCCAAGGGTGTGGAGAAGGAGTCCGCTTTGAAACACTGGAAAAAACGGTTGTGTTTGCCGCCTCCATCACTAATAACATATTCTGTAGAATGGAAATAGTCAATGACTTGAATAACTCGTAAGCAACTGCACATACTGCAATTGCTGTGGACGAAATAAATCAATTATTTAATTTCTTAACTGTCACACTACCCATCAATTTTCCCAAGCGTCACAGATACCAATAAGTAATCAACTGATCCAAATCACAAGCAGTAACGGAACAACTAAAGTTAAATCAGGCGATACCTTCTTTTGATCAAATTAAATCACAACTGGAATTAAAATATCAGAATATTAACATAAATTATTTACCTTATCCAACATCGTAACGCATTTAATTGATATAATCATAAAAGATACGTTTTCCTGCAGTATTTTTCTGATTCGGATCAAAATATAAAACGGAACGCTTGTATTATATAACATTTCTCAACTTTTTTTTTATTAATTCGCTAAAACTTTAATCTCTTCAAAACACACTTACATAAGTAAAGCTGCTGAATTACTGAGAGACGCTCGCTGAGGTGTGACGCTCCACTTGCTCCGTAATAATTATAGAACGTTCTTAGGGAGTGACGGAGATTGAAGAGGGCCGTGTTGTGAAAACACGAAAAGGAAAACAAGTGTTCATGCGTGAAGCGCAGAAAAGGAAATCATTTTCCCACTTCGCACACTGGATGAAGGAAAAGCGAGTCGATGTGGAACAACCAACGTTGCTGCTCCATTTGGCTTTTGGGGAGAGAAAAAAGAATCAATGAAGAGGACACTAATCTCTGTGACAACGAGGTAATTCCTCTGCAAATCCGATCGGCCTCGGGGATGTTCAAGTTTCTCCAATGTCGCGCAAATAAATGGATTTTAAAGAGATCAGCAGATCTTTGTTTATTTTCCGCGCATTTGAAATTCCTTCAGTTATTTTTATTTAACAGTGAATCGTTTTTCCATTTCCAAAACGCAAAAAAAAAAAGGAAAAAAAAAGGGGGGGAATGGAAAATTGCTTTTTTACAATGAATCAAAGTTTGGATAAATTATTATAAGATAGAATAAATAGGAGATATTTGAAAATATTTTATTGCGATTCTTAAAAGATGATCCAGAAATTGATGCGGACAAAATATTTTCCTCGTATTAAATATACATGAATTCCGACGAGTTGAAAAAGAATTATCCTTCATTCTAATTCGATTGATTGATTAAATATTAACGTCGCACTGTTCAACTACACGAGGGCTTTTGGCGACGGACCACGTAATTTTGAACCATAGTCAAGTGACGTGGACGACACCTGAGCTGGCACACCCTCTCCTAACTACCACATCACACCAACGGGAGGACGTTTCAGCTCTCGACAGATTTAACGTGCATCGCTGCCCTACTCGGCGGGTCTTTAGTGGTAGTGGGCTCGAACTCGTGACAAACCAAGCCACGATCCGATACCTATACCACTCGGCTACCGCGGCCTCATTCTAATTCGAAGACAAGGGAATGAGTAATTGCTTATTACCGTTTCACAGCAAAGCAACACGAAGACTATTGCTGGCCGATCTCATAATTTTGTGTCTAGTGACGAGGACGACACCTAAGTTGGCACCTCCTTTCAAATCACCACATTACTTAAACGGGCGGGGTTTGAGACTTGACAGATTTTACATGCATCAGCGCCTCTACGCGACGGGTCAGGATGCACGCGACTCGACAATGTTGGCCATCAGTTTGTTACCATTACCACCAGGCCACCACGGCAAATAATTCGAAGACAAAAGATCGAAATAAAGTATGTTGTTCTTATTGTCGTGCCTTTCTTCCTGAGATACACATACGAAAGACGAGAAATAGATGAACAGAAACATACAAGACAATCTTAGAAGAATATTATAGACTTTATTAAAACGATGATCCCACTATAAAACAGAAGGGGTGAGCTGCTTTCCATTCGAGACGGGAATCCATTTCAAGAAAAAGTCTGACTTTTTCCCCGATTGATTGATTGATTGAATATTAACGTCGCACTGTTTAGCTACACGAGGGCTTTTGGCGACGGACCACGTAATCTTGAACCATGGTCAAGTGACGTGAACGACACCTGAGCTGGCACCCCCCCTTTCCTAACTACCACACCACACCACACCAACGGAAGGACGTTTCAGCTTTCGACAGATTTAACGTGCATCGCTGCCCTACATGGCGGGTCTTTAGTGGTACTGGGCTCGAACTTGTGACAAGGCAAGCCACGATCCGATACCTATACCACTCGGCTACCGCGGCCACCTTTTTTTCCCGAAGATACATCCATGCCTTATTCGGGATTCGAACCCGAACCCACTCGATTAAAAGTCGAGTGTCATAATCCCCATTCTGAGTGGGGCGGCAGATAAAATATATTAAAATGAATGATTGACATCACTGGCGCAGTTAATCCTGAAAAGACGTATCAAACTGCCTTGGGAGCTTTTTATTGGAGGTCCTTAACATTTTAAGTTACTTTGTTTATGCATTTTGGGGCCCCGTATCATAGATACGGTGGTAGCTACACTCCTGATTGATTGGTTTATTGACTTATTCGGAACATTTAGAGCAAACAGGGTCTATTGCAGCCCTAAAGCAGAGGTATACGACTACTTTGAATCGAGGGCCACTTTGTGGTAGTGGAGGATATCGGCCGTACCTTTTTAAAATTACCTTGCATTGGTTAGTTAACATTGTATGTCAGAAAAGGTACAAATTGTACCGTAAAAATCAATGAATATAAATAAAAGTCGTAGTTTTATTCAATTTATTTACTGTGTTAAATTTCATGTTATCTCTAACTGTAAGCTAATTTAATTTTAGAATCAGTTTAATAAGACACTAATGCATCCTATCATATTTTTGTAGAAGTTTTTTTTTTTGTTTTGAAATCAAGAATGAAATTGCTTGTTGAAATTTTCATCACAGTCTGAAAGTTAATGGCACAGGCAACTTGCATTTACATTTACTTTTATTGATCTTAAGATAAAGGGGAAAAAAACTGTGTTCATAAGTATTTGTTGACTAAATATAGAGAAAAATTTTTGTCTATTTGTTTTTTTGATAATCTTGGAGGGCCAAAAGAAAATCTTTGCGGGCCGCTAGTTGCCCACTTCTGCACTAGAGTAAAAAGATAATTATTTTTTTTTATTTCTAATATGGCAGATTATGAACAGTTATTAAAAGAATTCATCAATTTACCTAGTAAAGGTATCTCTTTTTTTTAAGGGCGGTGCCATATAAGCGGATACCAATCGCCGCAGGTAATTTTGACACCCAGTTTGCTCCCTAGAGGGAGGCACCTGAGCTTTGACGGTGAAAATGTGTACTAGGATTTAATTTTGTCTAGAGCAGCCGCAGCCATTTTCTTCATCATGAAAATTCATCGACTTGGGCCGGGGTCGAACCCGCAATCTTGAGTTATAGAAGGCCAGCGACAAACCAAATACACCACCCAGCCGACAAAAGATTGTTTTACTATATTTGTTACATATTACTACTAACTTTTAACTCATTGCGATAGTTGTCAGGCGATTATGACAGGGAGCTTGTGGTCACCGATGTTTCCTTTAAAGATACATCACGTAAATATAATGATGCATGCTAAATCTCAGAACTTTAAGTCTATGAGATGACAATACATGGAGAAAAAGAATAGAGGAGGAAAAACAGACAGCCCGGAAGCGTTTAATATAGCAACAACACATCTTGCTATAAAAATGGATCTTGAATTAGTGATCCAATTAAGAATAGATTACAAAGGCGGAAAACAGTATGAATTGTTAAAAGATTGAGAACTATTATTTAAAACATTTCACACACAATGCTGTAATAATCTTCAGATTTTTTGATAAGTTGATTGAGATTGGTTGTTTATTTTTATTTTTTTTGCATTATGAAGCAATCTATCGAGAACAGTTCATTAATAGTCAGAAATTTTACCGGTTTCATCGAAAATGAATTTTAATTCAAGTATTGAGCTGTCAAAACAAGATAAAGTAAAAGATTCCCAGTAAAAAATAATTATTTAAAAACACAGAGACATGAAAAGAGCCAAAAACTATGCAGTTTTCCTTCGAGAATTTTATTCCTTGCATCTAGATAGAAAATAATGTTTTTAAGGCTGTTTTCGGTTAATGTTAAAGAATATAACCCGAATTTGGAACATTTTATCAGATATAAAAAAGAAATGAAAAATTAATATGATATTCTGAATTCACTATCCTTTAGAGAGCAGCATTTTTGATCCTACTTCCCATTTTTAACCGAGTTGATTCATTTTTTCTGGTATAAAATGCGTTTCGCATTTTTTTATCCTGTACCTTAATGTTAAATTGGCTTTTCCTTCACGTATTAAGATAAAAAAGAAAGTATTCACGGAATATTTTGAAATTTTTAAAAACACTATATTGTTAACAGAGGTACGAGTTATAATGTTGCAAATTTCCATGGAAATTGCGTCATTTTTCTGCCTGAAAATGTGCTTCGCGTTTAGTTAAAGCTCTCGTACTTTTACCGAAGACAGCCTCTTAAGACGCATTGAAAGTAAACCGGAGCTTCTGCATCTCCTTCTCCCCTCCAGTTCCTGCACCATCTGAGTGAGCAAAGAATTTTGTATAAATAGAATGAATAAAGCAAAGAAGTTTTAAAAAGGTTTTGAAAAAAATTGAGCTTCCATCTTTAAAAAACAAGAACAGTGAAATGAAAACTGAAACAAAAAAAAAAAAAAAAACAAATGAGCATAAGAAAGCTCGGTAGAGAAGCTACAGTGAAATAACAGTTTGAGTAATTTTTCACGAAATGCTGTTGGATAAATATGTGCTCTCGACAAACTAGGACAAGAGAAAAAAAATGCTCTTAAGAACAATTTTGCTTTCTGAGACAACGACCTAAGCGAACAGTGCCATAAAGATGATTCAAACATTAACACGGTTTCTAAATAGGACTTCTAATGTTCCCTCTGTAGGAAAATGAGGTTTTCACTTTTTAAAAAAAACACCCATAATCCTTTATTTTCACATAACACAAAAGCACGGCCAAATAAATGCTGTGATGGAGATTTGCATTAATAGGCGAAAGAACATTTTTTTTTTTTTTAAATTTAGTTACTGTTCGGATTACATTTTACGCCGGGATAACAAATGATTAGGGTTGTGAATGAGAATAGTGAATGTTTTATCATCGAACTTTAAGACAACACACGAGGGCTATTGCCAATGGATTTCGATGTCTTTTGTACCATGGTCAAGGGAGGACGACACCCTCCCCACCCCGTCAAAGATAGAACATTGAGCCCCGACAGATTTAAAGAGGGTCATCTCCTCTACTCGGTGGGTCTTAGTGGCATCAGGACTTGAGCTTGACTCAACAATGCTGGCCACGAGTTCATGACCAAAACCGTGTGTGCCGTTTTAATGCGGCTGTGATGGCCCCATTAAAATACTTCAGAAAATTTTAAAATCAATTTCGAACAGAAATATATTTTGATTTGAAAAAAATATTGATTTCACTTTTAAGTACGAGTCTTCTGAATCATTAATTTTGAAATCTCTATCTCCTTTTCTGATTTTTTCGTGGTCACGGTGAGGGTTACGGTAGCCCAGTGGTCAAGGTATCGGATCATGGCAAGCATGTCATGAGTTCGAACCCAGTACCGCTAATGACCCACCTGTGTAGGGCAGCGATGCACGTTAAGTCTGTTGAGAGGTGAAACGTCCTCCCGTTGGTGTGGTGTGGTAGCTAGGAGAGCACGTCACTTGACCATGGTTCAAAATTACGTGGTCCGTCGCCAAAAGCCCTCATGTAGCTAAACAGTGCGTCGTTAATATTCACTCACTCACGGTCACGGTAACTTAGTAGCTATGGCTACGAATTCATCGAACTATTCGGCTACTCGAGGGCTTTTGGTGATGGATGTCGTAATTTTGAGCCATGGTTCAGTGACGAGGATGGCATCTGAGCTGGCACCCCTCTCCTAACTTCCATACTACACCAACGGAAGAATGTTTGAACCCCGACCGATTTAACCTGTGCATTGGTCCCTACACGGAGGGTTTTCAGTGGTACTAGGTTCGAACTCATGACCCGCCTGCTACGAGTCTATTAACTTGACCACGGCATCTTAACTAGTGGCCTTAGTGTCGCGAGTTTAAACGGCCGTGGTAGCCTAGAGGTCAAGGCATTGGATCGTGGCTGGTATGTCACGAGTTCGAACCCGAAAAACCTGACTTGGGCTCGACTTTGCTGGGGAGCCCTAATATTCTCCGTTACGCCACTGAGCTCAAGTATTTGGTTTACTTGATAGAGGTTTAGAATTACGAAATCCGTCGTCAGTAGCCCTCTCGTGTGTTGATACAACTCTTACATTTTTGATTGTTTCATATAACTTTATATAAATATTGATAGCACATATATTTTGAATAATAACACAAAGAGTAATTTAAATTTTTCATTGATTGATTGATTGAATATTAACGTCACACTGTTCACAACACGAGGGCTTTTGGCGACGAACCACGTAATTTTAAACCATGGTCAAGTGACGTGGACGACACCTGAGCTGGCACCCCTCTCCTAACTACCACACCACACCAACTGGAGGACGTTACAGCTCTTGACAGATTTAACGTGCATCGCTGCCCTACACGACGGGTCTTTAGTGGTACTGGGCTCGAACTCGTGACAAGGCAAGCCACGATCCGATACCTAGACCACTCGGCTACCGCGGCCTTAAATTTTTCATAAACTACAGTGATAAATTTCTTACATTTATTTTGTATAACAATATGCATACACACAAATGGGAAGCAGTTCATAGACAACAGTAGCACACACAGGAATTTTTCAAGGGGAGGGTCCGGGGTTGAAAGTTCACCATTCTTGTATCATGCTATTTTTGATTTTGTCGATTTTCAGGAACAAAACACAGTAAAAAACTAATTATTGAATAAATAATTAGCCTTAATTAATAAAATTAATCATTAATAACAAATATTTGATTAAATTTTACGTATTATATACTTAGAATTATAACCAATCGGAAAAAAAATCAAGGGCTTTGGGGGAGGGGTCCGGACCCCCAGGATCCCCCCCCCTCCCCTTGTGTGCGCTACTGATAGACACTCTAATTCTCAAAGATAGAAGAATTAGAGTTCGAGAGAACCACACAAGTTCTTTTCATTCATGTTATTACTCAGTCTTAGCTTTACAGCCCCCATCAGTTCAATAAAATCCAAAAGTATATGTTAATGCAATGATTCATCTTGATATGTATCACGTGATCAAATACATAACTGCCTGGAATATGATGCATAGTAAACATACCACATTTCATCTATGAATACGACTCTCTCCTGGATAA